CATTCTCCTGCCTCTGCCTCCCAAGTAGCTGGGACCACAGGCGCCCGCCACAACGCCCGGCTATTTTTTGGTTGCAACCGTCATTGTTGTTAGGCGGGTCCGGGCTGGGGATTCGAACCCGCCACCTTAGGTGTATGTGGCTGGCGCCCTAGACGCTTGAGCCACAGGTGCTGAGCCGAATTGACAGATCTTACACATTTATCAGCACATCAAAGAAAACTTGACAAGCTAAAAATACCAAAACTATAAATTCTATAATTGTGACAACAAATTTAACTAGCAAACTCCACACAGTCTTACTAAGATAAGAAAAAGGAACTCCAACCACACGAGAAGAGGGGAAGGAAAATTGTGCTGCCTTTAAAAAGAGGAACGGCTTTTCCGGCGAAAGGAGGAAGTCGGGTTAACAGGCAAAGTAGTATCCGAAATCTGGACAAACACACTGCGGGAGGGAAAGAAATGGACAGAAAAGTGGACAGAAAAGTATTAGTCAGGTACAGAATACCTGACTCTCATTCGCGTGCTTTCCCGGCCACGCCCCGAAGGGGTGAGAGCTCTCTCAGCGTAGGCAGGGCGGTATAAACCTCACGCCAGGTCGCCCCAGGGACCCGCCACTAAGCCCTATGAAAGTGCCGTGGAACCGCGGGTTGGGGTAGCCATAGCCGTGGACCCACACAACTCTTTTACTCACACACTCGCTCACTCATTCACACAGAAAGGACTGACAACTGAACTGAAAACCTCAAAACACCATGAGCCCGTGAGCCAACACACAGAACCAAACACTAACCAAACACCAAACATAAATCCAGGAAGTCTTTCTAGTGAGACAGGGGGGCGCCACTCCCTCGCCGGGGGCTACAGTCCCGCCTACAGCATGCAGGCAGGCAAGGACTCAGGCAGGTAGCCTGCCGGCTCGGGCCCCCTCCTCCCCTGCTTAAAGAACTAGCCACCTAGCTGCGTCTAGCATATGCCTACAAAAAAGCAGTAGGAAGCCTAGTCCCGCTAGTGGGAACAAAACAAAACATGCAGGTTAAGTTCCACAGACTTCAACAGTACAGTACGGTAACGAGGAACAGACAGTACAAACAGGTACAAGCAGACTCACCGAATTGGAAAATTGAGGAACCTAGGTCCCTAAATCTGTGCCAGAGGACTCCGGGGCAGGGAGAAAACTCCCCAAGGAAGGCCTCCCCCTAGAGCTGTCAGATGACAGTGGGTCCAGGCGGGGGTCCACGAATCTCGCTGGGGCTTCTAGATAAAGAGGGTCAGAGCTGCAGAGACAAAAAGGTGGACTTCACTTTGATGTAATAATTGAGAAAATTTATTAAGGCCTGCAAGCGGGCTGGATCACCTCAAAGGCAATCAACCCCGATTGGCAGATGGAGCGCCTTTTACCCTTTGCAAGGGTCAGCAAGCTAGTGCAATATAGAAGCCAATCATAGCAGTTAGAGCGGGGTCACAAGGTGGAGGGTACATACACATTACTTCATCATCATAAGATGGAGTGCATCCATCTTATAAGAGGTTACACAATGCAGGGTGAAGGTACATGCTAACTTTAGACACATTGACTCACAAATCATCAAATGAGAGGTATTGGTAAATTTCTGAGAACAGCTTGGGCCTTAAACCAACTTCAGCCCTTTTCACCCAGGGCTCACCCCTGCCTCCCTTCCTTCCCTTATCTTCTTTTTTTATTTTTTATTTTTTGAGACAGAGCCTCAAACTGTCCCCCTGGATAGAGTGCTGTAGCATCACAGCTCACAGCAACCTCCAACTCCTAGGCTCAAGTGAGTCTCCTGCCTCAGCCTCCCAAGTAGCTG